CTATCCATCCATATTCTACACTACAACAAATATGCGATGTTGAGTTTACTCAATTGCATTTTGTCAAGTGGTTGCACACACACGTTCTGCAAATCATTTTTTTTCAGTGTAGAGCACGGGTGTCCAACCTCGGTCCTCGAGGGTTCCTATCCGGCATGTCTGCCTCCTCCAAGCCAGCTGACTCAAATGATCGGGATCGTTATCAGGCTTGTCCGAGCTTGCTGATGAGCTGATCATTTCAATCAAGTGTGTTGGAAGAGGAAGACAGGCCTTATTAGAGTGTGTTAGGGTAAGGCGAGAAGCAGGGTACACTCTGGACTGACTGCCGGGCAAGTGCAGGGAACATAAAGACAAACACGCTCACACTCACATCCATGCAACAATTGAGAGTCTTCAATGAATCTAACATGTTTGGATTGTGAAAGGAAACCAGAGAGCGAAGAAGTTTGTAACTTCGGCTGCCTGACTGTGAGGCGAACACTAATAATACACTGTGCTGAGTCGTCCAATAACATCACATGTTAATAATCAGTGCGAGGCGGCGACAACATTGCTTGAATGCCGAGAAGCCATGACCTCATCATGTCCACACTCCTTATCAATGCTACCAATGATGGCCTTGACTTGATCAATAAGTAATGTAAATAGATCAGTATGTCCAGTGGAGCTGGTTTCTCCTGAAGATGCAGTACGATACACATGGAAACCTCTCAGATCTGATTTTCCTCAGATTGTAGAAATTGGACATTTGTTAGAAATAAGTGTACTTGGTCTTTTTTCTTCTGAGGAAAAGTAGGTCCGAAATACCAACAAATTGAACAAGCAAGTACTATGCGAGAATTAGTCGCTAGAGCATGACATCATAGCTTTGACTTGATTCCATGCTGTTTATAGGGAAGTCGCTATTTCTTTAAAAACAAACTAAAAACTTGAATTTAGTTTGATTAGGCACCGAGTTTGTCTCTACAGTTTAAAAGAAACATGTCGCTATGTTTCACCTAAAGTCAAATAACACACACACATTCCAGGTCTGGAGTCGGAGAGAAACTTTTGCCATCAACTTAAATTGGCTCTCAGGGAACATTTAAATCGAACTTTAGTCTTCTCATCTTTGCATCACTGACGCATTGTCACAACACACTTTCAAGCCAAAGTCACTCTGGGAACAAATTCTGACTTTTACAGGGATGCTCATCACTGGTGGTGGATTTTAAAACCTTTCACTTCAATGGGTTTATTTACCATGATTGCATTACGTTGTGTGATTCGCGAAGCCACAGCCACGAAGCAGAGACAAGCCAATCAAAACACAGCACAGACTACGTCGCTGCTTCATGGAATTCATCCATTCATTTGAAAACATTTGGATGCATTTTAGAATGTTAACAATACGTGACAAAATGATGGAGGTTAGGAATAAAGTTGCCCTGACACAAAATCAATCACTGTTAGCAATAAAATAGTGCTCTGCAGTGATTAGCTAGGTTGTTTGCAAAACCCACCCCGTTAAAAGCTAGATGCTCTGGATAAAGCTATAAGGCCATCCCCATGGTCATTTGAATCCCTTAAAAATAATAAATAAATAAATAAATAAATAAATAAATAAAAAATGCCTACGTTTGTCTGCTCTAAGGTAAGCCGTGTACCACGAATACAATGTCAGCTCGGGTGATTTTTAAAGCTAACCCAGAAACAGGTAGGAGGTTTAGATTAAAGTTACACTCGATCTGCACAGTCATTTGAATCCCTCGAAAAACACTTTCAGATGTAAAATAATGCTATTCCACCGCTAGCCAAGTTGTTACCAAAACTCACCCAGATGTATGCCGGATATTCTGCATACTGTAAAGCCATTGGACCATCTGCATTGTCATTTCAATTCCTCAGAAATCACCAGTGATGTTGATTCCTAGGTAAGCAATGTGCTGAAGTAAACCAGGAAATAAAGCTCTGCTTTTGTTTGATTTCGGTTGGATCCAAAGCTGAGCCACATAAATGCAGGGTGCTCTGGATAAAGCCTTCAGCACTGCCATTTGAATCCCCCTCAAAATCAACAGGCATCCCTTTTGAGTCTTCTTCAAAGTTAGCAATGCACTTGTATTAGCTGTAAAATGAGGCTGTACTATTGTTAGCTAGGTTGGTCCCAAAAACAAATAAAAACACTTCCAGAGTGCTCTGGCTCTGCGACTGTTTGCCTAGCCTTTAAAACGCATGAAAAATTAAGGTCTGCTACAAGTTAAGCATTGTAATGTACTTGTATTAGCCATCAAACAATACCATGCTGTTGCTAGCATGTTAGCTGAAATGTTAATGCTACACAGCTCACATGAGGACTAATTATAATCGATACAAGGTCAATTGCTTCTGAATGACTGCAATAGTAAACAACACGCTAACTAACTTCACCTAATTTTATGGGGGTTCAATAAAAGTTTAAATATTTTTTTGTAAAATTTGTATTTTGTATTGATTAGTCATAAGCATACAAAATAGCATCTACCTCTGCTGCCGGTATGCCCTCTGGTGGGCGACACTGCAACAGCACTTCCTGTTCCAGGGACACCTCCTTGCCGAGGGGCTCCTGCTCAAATGACTTCTTCAGGTCTGTGGAGAGAGAAACAATACAGCTATGAAAATATGGGTGGATTTTTTTTTCCCATCAATGATGTCCATTGTAAAGCCACAAAGTCATAAATAGTCATATAAACATAGCCTAGAGCCCGAAGCATGGTCATATGGGTGTCGTTTGTGTCGACTTTTAAGAGTATTTAATTGTAAACATGCCCCATAGCATCGTTTCCGCAGCCATAACGTGGCAGCCATTAAGGGACTAAATTGCTCTTCCAGTTGCTTATGTACACTTTAAATTGACCACTATGTATTTAGAAATGCAGGCAAGTCAAAACATTGCAATTTAATATCCAGTCCCTGTATATTATTTTTTTTCCTCAAATGCAGTTGCCAAGTTTCATCAACAATTGCATTAGCTTTTACAGTGATCTAGTGATTTTTCAAACTGAAATGATGCCATTATATCTATCTATCTATCTATCTATCTATCTATCTATCTATCTATCTATCTATCTATCTATCTATCTATCTATCTATCTATCTATCTATCTATCTATCTATCTATCTATCTATCTATCTATCTATCTATCTATCTATCTATCTATCTATCTATCTATCTATCTATCTATCTATCTATCTATCTATCTATCTATCTATCTATCTATCTATCTATCTATCTATCTATCTATCTATATACAGTATAATTACTGTAATGCCCTCACATGTAGGAAAGGAGAGCCACACCCACCAATGCACTTATTAGCCCTTAAATGAACATCGGTGAACAGCAAAACACAATGAGTATGCTGCTTTTACCACAGCGTACACCCAGACACTCTCACGCAGGCTGCTGACATCACATATCACCCCACCAGGCCCGCCTCTTTAAGGTCAACTAGGGAGTAATTTCAGGAAATCCCAAATGGAATATTTTTATTTCACAAGTTCCGGTCCAGCATGCCCCACAACCCTTGTGAGGATAAGCGGATCGGAAAATGGATGCGTGGATGGAGTCAAGTAATTAAACAAAATACATAAAATAAAATGTGAAAAAAATCATTTCTATTTCGTAATTTTGACAAAGTAATGAAGTGTTACGTCAGTTCAAGAAAACAATGGTACAGCTCTATATGGAAAGTGTACAAAGCCAGTCCGAAATTGATTCAGAAAGCGATTTTTCAAAATTGTCTGAGTGGATCCAGGAGTACCTTGCTTCTCTTGACGCAAACGCAACTGAGTCATGTACTGTATATTTAGAACAAAAGTGCAAATGCAATATCTGTGAAGTATAAAAGTATAAAAAAATATTCCCCATCCCTGCTTATGAATGAAAACGTTTTTTTTTTCTCCTGTATCTCTACCACTGTATAACCCGGCATGTGTGGAATTTTACTTTTCAAATTATTCCACCACATTTCTTTAACTAAATGTTTCAGAAGGTTCGCCGGTCGGCTTGTTAGTGTGTGTGTGTGTGTGTGTGTGTGTGTGTGTGTGTGTGTGTGTGTGTGATCCTTGAGTCCTTTCGTTCTCCATGGTTGCCAGGCACACTCTCGCCTTGTCTGTCTGCTGCGACGCACGCACAAGCGCACACGCACACACACACAGAGTTGTTGAAGGTTGCCGCCGTGAGGAAGAGGAGGTAGTGTTGAATTTTCAGAGGGAGGTTGGTAAAAGTCAAGGGAACAGGTGCACAGTAGGGATTGAATGATGAGCAGGGAGCGCTTGGGTGAGAAGAGCTGCAACACCTGCGCACGCCTCACCTACCAAATAATGGATAGAGGATTCTAAAACACTGTACTGACAAACACGATGCACACATTGTGTAGATCCGCAGCAGTAGACAATATTTGAACCAGTTCCCAGGTGTGATGTTTGTGACAGGCTTTTGTCAAAATACCCCAAGGCTCAACCATTACATCATACTTCACATAACGGTGTTCCATTCTGTAATACAGGAGTACCTTTCGACACGGGTTCATTCGTTCCATGGCTTAAAACACAGATATCTCAAATCATCTTTTCAAAAACTCAATCAAGTCCTATTTTCATCAATTATCAATAAAAATGAAGAAATACTCAATTTATCCATTTCAACCACGTCGTCAAAAACAAGATGTTTTTAAAGAGTTTTTTTTTTGTTAGCACTCTATAATACTGCACATTATAAGAGCATACATTAATGACAATTATTTTATTTACATTTAAAGATGTAAACACCTTTTGCCTCATTTTCTGCTGCAATTCCACAGATATTGCGCTACTCCAGGTGTACCTTGCCCACTGTTGGGGGGGGGGGCACTATAATACAGATATAGAGACACATACAAAATTGTTTCAATATTTCATTCGATATTTTAATAGATTAAAGGTTTATCAACGTTTTTGAATATTTTTTAGATTGAAAAAAAAAAATATATTTTTTAAATGCCAATATACCACTGGATGTTTTAGTTTTTTTTGTGGGGGTAGGGATTACTGTGTGGATTATTTCAAGTAATTCGGGTTATTTATATTGTGAAAAGTGGTGCTTATTACTGCATCACGTTTTTTACATGTGACTGTTCTATAAAACGCTAAGTCAGTAAAGTCAGTAAGTCAGTAAAGTCAGTAAAGGGGTCCTTCGGTTTACACATTTTTTTTTCGATAATACATTTCAATGGCAGTCGATTATACCCGGATTCCGTTATTCACAGGCCGGCCTGGTTCTTATTGCCCTGCGAAAAGCGGGTCTCCATTGTGTATATGTCGGTGGATGTGTTACAGTATCAGTTGGCTAAAGGGTTATAAAACTGCAACACCATTGCTTTTCGAGAGGCTGTCTATGCCATTTTGCATTGTTTGTTCGCATTAGGCTACTCTGGCTGTCATAAGGCAAAGCTATGTGTTTGTTTTAATGACACAAGATGTAATTGTTGTTGTTTTTAATGTTCAGTTTGATGGTAAAATTCCCCCGAGAGTGGCAATAAGCCATTCAAAGCCTCTTGTTCACTCTTGTTGGGAAGTGAGTTAACGCCTGTGAAATTTTTGCTCTCAAGTCAAAATGACAAAAAAAAAAAAAAAAAAATAATCGAGACATTTATAATTCATATCGCGAAAGACTCAAGGTATCACTCATCACTAAAGTCCATCGTACATTGAAATCTTTGCCGAACATTCGAGTACACCCCATTCAGCAGGCGCTAAAGCTAATTAGTGCTTATCTTGCAACTTTGAACTGACAGCGCTTTTGTGTGGCGAAGCCTAGCGCCAAAGATTGTAAATAAAGCCCCATTCTTATGACACAATCTATAAACATTCAGAACAGCTCACTTACAAACGCAGTTTGGGGATTCGGCAACCCACAAAAGCTTCACTTGTTTTTGTAATTTCACACGTGATTGGTGGGCAGGGATTCCAGAGACCAGTATTTTTATACAAAACATTAAAAAGCCAATTTTCCATAATATGCACCCTTTACTTCGAGGTTGTATATAAATACCCAGTATAATTCACTAATTAAAAGACATCAAATTTGTTTTGCCTTTTTCCTGGTGGAAAGGCATCGTGCTTAAAAGGAGTCACATGGGGACAACAAGCATCACTGCCTTTACAATACAATCAATCCCCGAGGAGGTGACGACCCAAACGGAGCATGATGACAAGGAGGTAATCACCCGGAGTGTTATCCCCTTTCCCAAATTCGAGCACATGCGTCTCCCCACGCAACACACGTGGGACATAACAAGGGGAAGTGAAAGAGACACATAAAACGTGCCAGCGATTGAGGCAATCGAGACAAACGGAGACGATAGCCTCAATGAGACACATCAATGGAACCACAAAAACAATAAAACAAAAGAAATAATAAGGAGGGGGGGGGATTTCCAGCCAAAATCTGTGACCAATTTCCTGGTTTTAATTAGTCAGAGTCAATTTCCTTGAAGATGAAATTAAAGGAGATTAGCACCGACAAGCTCAGAGGATGATGAATGCACACCGGCATGTTAGCGCTAAAATCGACGAAGCTAAGCTGCAGGATCAAGCGTGGGTTCACGTCAGCGGGAAAGAATACTTTGAAGGGGAACACATTATGGAAAAGTGACTTGTAAATGTCTGCATACAAATACTTGGCTCTGTGGAGTGCCTGCCCCACCCATTGTGGTGTGTGAAATTAGACAACCAAGTAAATCTTTTGTTCGCTGGCCATGTTGGAAAACAAATTGGATAAAACAGGCATTCAGATTTTATCTATATCGCAACTAGGGCGATCAAAATTAAAGGGCTAACTTGAGAGATTCATTTAATTAAAATAAATTAAAAAAAGTTTCTGTGGTGGCCTATAACCTCTGCTTACATTACAGTATGTTCTATTCACAATGCAGTTCAATTCCAATTCATCAGAAGCCAAAAATGCGCTATGTGGAGTCACAATTGTGCGTGAATCTGCAAAGTTGTTGTAACAGTATTCCTTTTATATTTAGATTTTGTTGAATCTCACTTGAAACATGATGCAGAAAGTGGACATGCATGCTGACAGCTGTGATTCAGCAACACAGAATGTCATTAGTTACGCGTGGCCTGACGTCATCTTTAGGAGATCTCGTCACGGAGCGTCACCTCATGTCGCCAAAATATTTCTACCTCTTCACACCTCGACCCTCTGTCGATATGAGATAAGGTGAGCGCCTAAACGCAGGACGATGCTGTATTTACTTCCATAAACACTAGACGTCATGTTTTGTGTGCATGCGTGCCACATCACAGACATGTTTCGCTCACTTTGGAAGCCGCTTTCTTTTTGTGTCTTGTAAACGAGTACACAAAAAAAGTTTTGCACATGACAAGACAGTCTGCTTTGAACGGGGCTGTTTTAGAGAGGATGACAAGTGTGCTATGATTCCTGATCCTCTGGGTTTTGACGAAGCCAGACTTTTTTTTTTTTTTCAAACACCTGGGGACTGCTTAAAATTGTGTAAAAATGGGATAATGTCTCCTTCAACCAAATATTTCACCCAAGGGGAATGCGCAATTTGATGGGGGACAGCTGTGTCACATCAATCCACTGACCCCACTTCACTCCCACACACAGATAACATCATCCAGCTCCATAAATTCAAGTGAAAACCCCCCAAAACAACTGTGAGAAGGCAAAAAAAGGCTTGACAAGCGCAAAGAGCAGACTCGTATAAACATCAAATGACCCCGCCCCCCGAAATATCTCCCTCTCCGTCCTAAACGTCTTCTCTTTCTTCTTCCGTAGGCTTCAACTGAGACTGTTATTATGCGTTCCGGTGGGCTGGCGGCCTGCAGGCATCCTCCGCATAAGCACATTTCAGAGCAATTATGCAAAAAAAGGAGCCGGAATGCATGCTTCCCATTGCCAAATCACAGGCAGTAGTCTTTCCCCGCTTGCCGCTCAGGGAATCAAGTGCAAAGTAAGAGCTTGTCAGCAATGAAAATTCTTGGATGCATCGTGGGAATAGCGTTCAACGAAGCTCTACAACAGTGGTCGTCAAACTTTTTAAAACAAGTGCCCCCTAAAAAAAAATTTTTTTACAGCCCCCAACATCTTTTGTGAGCTGGCCATGTTGGAATTAAGTTGCTCCCAAAAATGTGATCAGGTGTTACCTCAGAAAATTCAGCCCCTTGTCGCCAGTTTCAATTTACCACAGAGTTGGTAAGCACACAAAAGTTTCAAAATTCCATCCTTGAAAAGACAAAACTCTTATTTTGGTTTGAAGCCGCCAATTTACAGTAATAGCTCAGCTCCAATTTCTTTTCAAACGAGTCCATTGTCTGGCGTAAGAGTAAATTCACAAGCGTACGAGCGCATTTTTTTGATTTTGAAAAGTGAGACGCGGTTAAGACCTTTACGTTTCTTTCAACTGATTTACAGACTTACTTTTCATAAAGCATTCACACACATGGCCTCTATTTTATCAGCGCTGTAAGATTTAGCGAGCGCACCGAAGCAACTCGGCACATCTGGGAAAACGCTCAGTAGCTTGATGGAAGAGCGGTGTGGTGCGTCGCCTCCGCAACCACATATCAACTCGGGCTGTCGCTCTATAAAAATAATGTATATATTCGCAGTGTTTGGTAGCGTCTCTCTGCTTTTGCAGGCATAAAGCAAAGCCTGTCTGGATGAAGCCATCCAGAAAATGGCGCAGTTGAGGCAGCTGGCAGGCTATCAAGAGTGAGTTAGTTGCAGTTTGCATCCATAAAAGCCAAAATAATTTCCAAGAACAAACAGTCTGTGAGTGTTTTTGTTTGGCATCTGAGCTACCAAGATAGCGTCTGTGTATGTTTGTATATACTGTCGGCGTGCAGATAAGTGGTGCGCATGACAAGTGGAATATTGCACTCCAGTTCAAGTCTGTCTCCGCACTTTGTGGCACTAATAGGTCAGGCCAGCCTCAATTCGAAGTTGCATCACCGCCTAGACATGTACAGTCTAACTTGTTTCGCTTTTACAGTATCTTGAAGTTGAAGCTCACGGGCGTGTTGCATAGCGACATATGAGCAACCATTGTGGCAGCTAGCTTGACAAGGCTAGCTACGAGCTGAAAGCTACATCAATGGTGGCTGATAAAAACAAAATTCTGTTACATTAAAATGACTTATCTACACATATTAACAATAATGTTTGCCCGAATGTGCCCTAATTCTTTAGGTTCATCAGCTAGTGGGTCTGGAAAAAAAAAATGACCATCGGCGGAGCTACGTGGTGGTCAATGGTGGCACGGCTACCAATGGCCAACCCCGCCCCGCGAGAGGGCCATGATTGACAAACGCATTGAGGTGTTGCAGAAAATTTGCTCCACCTAAATAACCGCTATTTTCACAAACACCCATTTTACTGACGGACGAGTACAATTTACCGTGGGGAGGGGCTAGCTTGCAATGTCTGGTAGGTTTTCCATGATTACTTTAACTTGGTGTCGATTTTTGTGTTTTGACTTTATTTTGAAGCGTTTCAGACACAGACATCCGGTAGTCTCTCTGTGGTAGCAAAACAGCAGGTTGGAGACTGGGCTCCACTTTCTGTTAAGACTTACGTGTGTGTTGTCCGTCACCGTGATTGAAGAAAAAAAAAAAAGAGCCATCCTGTATATTAACACAATTAAAAGTTCATCCAAGAAAGTTTTAGTCTTTGGTGACCAGACATTGAGTCAACAAAGCTCGTGTTTGGACTTATTCACAGTCCTGAAAGTGGCACATTGAGAGACATTTGGCACTGACAGACATTACGAGTGTCTGGACTGCTGATTACTATTCACACGCGTGTCTCAGAGGAAAGTGGCAGAACAAATTGCAGTCATCTGGACTGTACGCCCGTGTGTGTGTGTGTGTGTTTGTGTGTGCCCGCGCGCAACCTTGACATGGCGCTAATCCGTCGAAGGAGAAACACTTGACCTGATGGCTGCGGGGCCAAAGAGCAAGGCTGACACAGCACATGCCCATTTGTGGGCACAGACAAGCCTGCATTTCACTTCACTGTTTAATTGAGTAAATGTATGTATTTGTGTCGCCTGCACCACTTTCAAAAGCACTCTCGAAACGCTTACATTTTAAATATAATGCCACAATGATCGCTATTATCCATTCAATGAATAGATTAAACCCAATTTAAATTTGCAGAAGAGCAAGATGGCCAAAGCGAGACGCGACAGTGGAAAAAAAAAAAGTAAAACGCATGCAGAAATCGAATGCTGACTCGCTAGAAAGGTGCTGGAGAAAAAATATGCAAGCCTGAGCTGCCACCTAGCATTTTAATCGCACGCCAGCCAATCGAAATTGGAGCGGAATGCCAAGTTCAGATAAGATAAAAGGTAATCACAATAGGGACATGCAACAGAGGATATGTCAATCAACATCAGATCTTTTGACCTCCCTTAATTACAGTTTGGACTAATTTTTCAACCACAATATGAGGGAAAGTCAATATTTGACAAGATGGCATCGATCCCATTTAATATTTTCTATGGAGTTGAAACCAGCTATTTATTTGCAGGACTTTGGAACTGGCCGGGCCTATGAATAGCCCAAATTTGCATTTAACGGGTGCGCATTGAAATGTGAAAAAAATAACCAATGAAATCCTAAAGATTCTTGCAAAAATGCTGAGAAACTTTCAAGACACAGAAAATGGGGGGCAAAAAACCCCAACAAAAAAACCAAAACTCGACATCCCCCTACCAAATGATATAAAAACGAGAAAAAAAAAAGAAAAACAAATCTGACCATATATGCTAAGAAACCTTGGATTACTTGCGATGGCAGCACAGAAGGTCCCCGGAGTGAAGGTGATGGAGAGGAAGCGTGTTTGCTGTAATGTCTTATTTGCGGCTGTGATCAATGACGTTATTGATCGCTCAACAAGTTATGACATTACAACCACCGATTACAATCACCGATTTTGCAAAAATGCAAAACATCTGCCGATCAGATCTGGCTAAAGTCTACAACTTACCAACTTCATCAAACTCAATCACTTCACAAACGATTACAGTGTTGTGCCATCCCAAATTCTTTACACAAGCGTTGAATTGAAAGTTTTTGTGTCCATTGCTTCAAGATGTGACTAACCGACAACCAAATTCACATAACTGACCAAATTCCTTGAATTGAATCGTTTAATTAGACTGCGACCACTGTATCCGTACTTCTTGAGTCAGCAAAACACCGAGTAAATCAAGAGCACCTCCGCTGGTTGCCGCCAAGTCCTCATTTGCTCCAAGGCACGATTAACTGAACACAAAAATCCCCAATTCATAACATCCAATTCATTGATTATTCGATTACCGGTGTGTCTCATAAACTAATTTTAGTGAAAATGAGTTAAGTAGATTTTGTCGCTAATATAAACGGAAAACGAAACACAGGGGCTTTGGGAGGAGGTAATAAAAGCATGTAAGTAAGTGCATAAATAAAGCCTTTACAAGAGCAGCTTCCTGGTTAATATTTAAAAAGAAGGGCTGAGCGTGATGGATTTCCTCCTGTCGAGCTCACTCGGGAATGCCGTCTGGTCTGGCGATAGCGTCTATGGCAGAGGATGTTCGACTCCATCAGTGAAGCACGACTAATAAAACAAAAACGCAAGAGGCGGTGTAAAGGTTATTGGTTATTTCTTCACGGATTCACCTCTCCCTGACCGCCTGACAAGTCCCCGCTCGTCTTACATGGATGACTGGCGGCGAGGCAACGACGCCCGCAAGACGACCGTCGTGGGTCCGGCTTGCCGAGAAGCCATCGGCCCGGTTATATGAGGCCGCCGTAAAGCATCTCCGTGTCCTCCGTTGGGAGAGTTAAAATGATTTCCCCCGCGTAGTCATGTATTTAGCAATACAGTCAACCCCAGTTCATCGCAGCGGGGTACGTTCCAGACCAACCCATGTTAAGTGAAAGTCTTGGATGTAGAATAGTGAGCATACGATTTTTAAAAACTAGTTTTACCTCTCCCACATGCTTTACACACATTCAAAAACTTCAAAACCCACTTTTTAAAGTATTTCCTTGTGCCTGTTCTCACCCTTTCACAGTTGAGAAAATGGGAGACTGCCGAATACTATCACTTTGAGGAAACAAGAGGAAGAAGACTTGCCAGCAGAGTTCCCTAAATCAGAGGCAAAGCATGCTGGCCTCAGGCTATTTGTTACTCCCAGTTGAAGTTTTAAACCAACACACTAAACAAAAGACAATTGCACACGGTAAAATGCCATTACACTAATCCCTCATATTTCGTGGTTAGTGGGGACCAGAACATGGCTGCAGATATACCTGTATTTTTTTCATTTTTAGATTTTTATTTATTTATTATTATTTTTTAACGGATACAGTAATTTGGAAAAACCCACAACACCATATTTCAAATATGTGGATGGAGAATGTGCCATTCCGATTGCAAATTATGGTTTTATGGTTTTCAGAATAAATGAATGCTGTACTCACATGCGATGCGAACGTACGCCTTGCGACTTTTGGTGGTTCCGGCGGAGCTCCATGCCACGCACTGACACCAGTAATCTTCCGGGCCGAATAGTTCCTCCACCTGCTGCCGGGTTATTTCTATGCTGGCTTCTCTCACAACCAGACCTGCAAAAAAAATAGCAATCAGCACCATTATATTGCAACCCCCCCCACCCCCTAAAAAAAACCAAAACACATTTACCGTATTTTCCGCACTATAAGGCGCGCCTAAAAGCATTTAATTTTCTCAAAAGCTGACAGTGTGCCTTATAATCCGATGTGCCATATACATATATATGTGTGTATACACACACACACGCACGCACGCACGCACGCACGCACACACACACACACACATTAACATATATGGATCCTAATTCTGATTTCTTAGAGGTATTTTCAATGTTCTGTATAGTGCTTTGTTACAGCTGCAGTGGTTGTGAAAGCTCTATTTAAATAAAGCTGTATTAGAATGTATTGTATTTCCTTGAGCATAGCTCCATCTAGTGGATGCATAACGTAACCTCAGCCACTATTGTGGCTTCTATTCTATGCGCCTTCGAATGCGGTGCGCCCAGTATATGAAAACAGCTTTAAAATAGGCCATTCCTTGAAGGTGCGCCTTATACTGAGAAGCACCTTATAGTGCGGAAAATACGGTATTTACCACAATGTGTCCCACCGCCGGAGTTCTCACAATTGTTGATGTTGCATATTGCAATTGTACTAACAAAAGTTGCTCAACAAAACAATTAGGTTCAAAGCGAGACAGCAATGTGAAAACCTATGGCAGTGCATTGTGGTATCCATGGATACCGCTTGGACTGTTGATTGCATGAGGCAAGAGCTACGAACTGTCACTGTTTATTTCAGTTACGTCTTTGTTGTACTTTTTTATATAATTGCCTATAGTGTCCAGGAAGGGGCTTTCATCTTGAGCTGCGGAGACACATGGTTGTCTTATCGTGGCTTACGCTATATTTAACGTGTGTTTGTTTGTTAGCGATTCAAGCAAGCTTCAAGAGCATGAACAGACTCAAGTGGATTACTAACAACCTGGATAAAATACAGCTGGTGCGCGTAATCAGGGAACACAGAAAACTACACTAACGGTTATGATAGGTGTAAAAGATAAACTTTCCGTAACTGTGACAGAAGACAGTAACATTTTTTTTTTTCTTGAATATGTAACACCGGTACATGTCTTCTATTACTCCCGAATCCTGATCCATCGTATCCTTTGAGAAGGCAACGGGATCAAATGGGACTGCTGAGCCGTTCTGAAAATGTTTTAGGAATAAAAGAATTATGAGGAGGCAGAGGAGGAAGTGAATGCTTAAGTACACAGACTAGAGAGAAAGATTAAGAGGTGCGAGAGGCCAAATGAAATGTTCAACCCAGAGGGTAGAAAAATGGCTTTTAAGGGAAAAGTACACGGGGACTTGGATGCGTGGGCGGACAAAAATGTTCCATGCGAAAGATCTTGTCAGTTTATTTCGGGTTCAGGGGTGTTACACAGGCCAATGCCAACCATTTCCGTGGGGATTGCTCGTCGAGGACTCTCAGGAAGTTTTGAGAAAATAAAGTTTTAAGACAGGAGCGAGGCAAATGGGAACGAGTTGCAGTTGCCTGAAGAAGCAAAGGCAGGCAACAGCGATGAATTCAAGAGGGAAGATGATTTTTTTTTGTTTGTTTTTTTTGTTTTCATAGGAAAAAACAACTAATGTTTTTATAAACCACAATATTTTTCTAATAATGAAAAATCAATCAATCACACTTTTTGTCTTATGTATTTCTATTTTTGAATTTAAAAAAAAAATCACCTTACACCCTCAACTCAACTTCATTCAGAGCACTTAAAAACATCTACCACAGCTGAAAAAAAATGTGCTGTGCAAAAAGAGCGAAAATAGAACATTAATAAGATAATACAATAATAATAACAATAATCATATTAATATAATTAATAGTCCTAGCACAATTTAAAAGATAACAAGGACTATAATCTCAAATATAAATGCCAGTCATCTCTATGATCATTTCGGCGGCATATCCATCGAGGGCACTAGTCAAGTTCTGGCCAAAAAGAAAAAAAAAGAAGTTTGAAGTCAGCAGCAAGGTCTGTGAATTTTGATTATACCGGTTTAATGGTTGTCAGTAGAATATTGTGAAAAATGCTGGAAAGGTACACAACAAGAGCTAATAAGAGTACAGAAGGCCAAAGAGTAGCGACACTGAAAAGTCACAATGCGAGCACTCCCGCTAGCAGGCTAACAAGGGCGACTGCTCCGCCATCACCAGCGAAAACTGCAGACGGGGGACACAGCGAGGGAGCAAAGGCGCCGACGAAAATGCCAGCTAAAGGGGCAATTAGAAACAGCCAGAGGCTCTGGAGCACTTCGGTGAAAACGAGGAAAGAACTTGCGCAGAGCCTGAAAATCCAGCAAGAGTGCACAAGAGGGGAAAGTGACAGGTAGGAAGCCAACCATTACCCTTGCATGGGACTTATTCGTTCATTGCACAGTGGAAACCCCAAACCTTGGTTCATTTTTTTTCCCCAAGTGCCGTAATATTGCTGATAATATCATCTTGCGGATGCTTAATGAACTTTTTCCAGTCATTGAAAAAAAAATGAATTATGACTCAGTTCCTTGTTTCCTCCTTAGCATGTCAGAAAATAGGCAAAAAATGTTGATTGGTTTTACACACACACGAAAAAAAAGTTGTTCTGCTGAAATTAATGAATCCCCAATCGTCCGGCGTTGTTTTCTGACACAGATCTCCCAAGGTTAGCATTGCGAGACCAATTTATCAGAAACTTAAAGTCAAACTAACTTTTCACAGGTTGCCTTATTTTGTTTGCATATCAAAATCAGAGCTACAAGGTGAAGAAAAATTGGGTGCGTGACAGAACTTCCCTTCAAGAGAACTCTTCATGTCAGCTCGGGAAGTTCATGAGGAAAAAAATAAATAAATCCCGGATCAAAATGAATGGAGCCTGTCACTGACATTCCCGTCAATCATGCGAGATCTTGACTTTAATGTTGGTTGTTAGCTTCTTGTTGCTTCTTGCGTGGAAGCCACACAAGTCAACTTTGACACATGGATTGCATAAATATGCACAAAGTTTATTTTAATATAAGTGTGTCAAGAATGTCTAAAATATTCTCAAGTTTAGCACCAAAGTTTCCCTGGTATCCATCCATCAATATTGCTTTAAACTGAATTCATAAGTGTAACATTCTGACATCGACCACGTGGCTCGGCCTGACGTCCGCAAGCCAGAGGCTGAGCTGCACTGTTATTGTTTCTCAAGTACTCGTCTGGCTTGAGGACAATGAAGCGCATTGAGTTATCTTGTGTATTTGTGCTGATATCAATAAATCTGCCTTGCCTTGGAGCTCCACTTTCTGTCACTTAAACATGATCCTTGTCTATAAGTGGGAGTTTCTCTAGACAGTATTGATAAAATCTGAACTGAATCTCACTGCTGAACCCTTAAAAATAGATGAGGTGGTACCTGAGGGTATGTTAGCACATCCTGTCGTTCTGCTCTTTTTTTTTTTTTTTTTTTTTTTTTAAACCTTTGTGATTAGGGTTTAATTGGTCTTAGAGTTATAAACTTATAGCGGTTTGCAGTAAAATTTTAATAAAACAATATGAATTACACAAGCTTAACTCAACCTAACCATACCTTGGCCCTAACTTCTAAAACTCAACACAAAATGCAGCTTGTAATCGGTGAGTCAGCTGTTCATTTTTACATCCAGTTTTCATAATGTATCAATTTTACCTTTGTATGCAAATGATTGGGTCACTGACTTTATGCAAGCGGCATTCATTTACAGTACGGTCATAAATGGGTGGCCATCTACAGCCTTGGAGGGAGTCTGAATCTCCTGAAATCTTAAACACACACAAAAAAAGTCTAGATTTGTTTTTTTGCTCGTCTTTTCTTTTTTTTCTTTAAAGTTGCAGGCGGTTGGCAAAAATACTTTCTGCTAACCAAAGCCGTACGCTGCATTTGCATGAGACAGACCCGCCACCGAGTGTGACAAGTCTTGTTAAGTGTGTTATAATTCTTTATCCTTAGAGTATTTTGACAGAATAATGTCAAAGAGCTTGCATTAAGACTCCTGGGAGATGTTTAAAATGTGGATAAAATCTTACTTCTTTAAGATGGGACAACAATGGATGCTGATGTCGACATGCAAATTAGGCTTTGTCAAAAAAAATATCCGCGCAACTTAAAAGAAGTCATCATTCAAGTCCAATAAACGGGGTGAATCAGTGCCGACTGCACCTTTGCCTCCGTTTCTGACGAAGTACGCGAAAGCAGTAAAGCCATCAAACACCTGCGCCAAAGAAATAGAAAGATGTTACACAGAATCGAGTGGAATGGAAGTCGCTACGTAAAGGGCGGACGCGATAAGGAAGCGGTTTGAAGCTCAGCTCTCTTGAAAGGACGATAAGGGAAGCAGAGGAAATAAAGCACTTAAAAGCGATGTCGTGTTCAAAATGTGACAGGTCAAACAGATGCATCTTTGGGGTGGGGGGCAAATAAACAAAAGAAGGCTAAGGAAGGGAAAAAAAATGTTTATCATCAAATGTTTATTATCTAAATGTTTGTTCTAAGTAGTTTGTCTGTGTCATGGGGGGAAAGACACCCGAACGCGAATGCAAAAGTAAAACCCAGCAGAGGGGGGGAGGAGGAGAAACAAAACATCACAACGCAACTCTCGACAACCCCTATTGTGGATGCCCTCACTTCTGGGAAAGGAGAGCCGCAGCCACAATTGCACTTTTCAGCTGTTTAATGACAGGGAATAATCTCAGGGCAGACAAGTGCCCAGGCACTCACACATTGACTCCCTACCCCACTAGGCCCCGCCTCTTAAAGGCACTTTAATGTACACACAGACCCAACAACATACGCACTATACATGCTTATTTTTTGCGCATGTACCATGTTTTTAAAATATGTTTTTGGTTAAGTTTAAGTGTGTTAAATAAAAAAATAAATAAATAAAATATAATGGATCCGGTTGTTCAAAACTCATTTCGTTTTCTTTTAACCACAGCTTGAGTCCCGGTAGGTTTAACCAAGTGTTAACTTTAACGGCAAC